GCTAAAAACTACCCGAACAGGGAAGTCCTGGAGGCTGAAGCTGGAAATAATGCTAGTTTCCTATGGAAAGGTTTGTTGTCATCACGCTCCCTAGTTAAAAAAGGATGCAGATGGAGAATTGAAAATGGTTGCAGCATAGATATATGGTTGGATAAATGGGTGTCAGGGAATGAGGACTTTAAAGTCAAAATCCCAACAACCAGGGTGGGTGACTCTACCTCCGTGGCAGAATTGATCGATTTCGAAGAGAAATGCTAGCGAGTCGAGGTTCTGAATGATCACTTCCTACCATAAGATCGTGTCAACATCCTAAAGATCCTCATTCCAAGGGAATGGTGAAGAGATGAAAGAGTCTGGAGTGAAGAAAAATCAGGGGACTACTCGGTGAAATCAGCTTATAGGCTTTGGTTCAATCGTGATGAAGAGGAGAGAGGAGAATTTTATTCCCCTGTCAACTGGGATAGGCTGTGGAAGCTAGAAATCCCTCACAAGGTGAAGATTTTTTCATGGAAATGGGTGCGGGACATCCTACCTACATGAGCTCGGGTTGTGAAACAAACCACAAAGGGCAGCGAATGGTGTCCTTTCTGCAACCTTAAGGAAACTCAGATCCATATTTTTCAAGAGTGTGGGTGGGTTCAGAGAGTTTGGAGACATATCCCTCTTGCTTCTATGTTCGAGAGAGGTCAGAACCTTACCTCGGAGGAATGGTTCTACGAATTGCAAGTGCATGAGCCAGACGAACAGATCGGCCGATTCCTGGTAGCTCTGTGGTTCATCTGTGATCAAAGGAACAGCCAATTATGGAATAAATCGAAAATGGAAGAATGGGAAATCATGGGGCGAGCGAGTCGTTGGATTGACGAGTACCTGGAGGCTCAGACGCCAAGGGAGCGGACTCAGCGGGCGGAGCAGATGAACTGGGCTCCTTCGACGGTTGCCGACTTCACGATGACCGTTGATGCGGCATGCCTGCAGGGTCGGGGAACGGGGCTGGGAGTGGTTGTAAGGGATCGAGCCGGAGCCTTCAGGCTGGCGGCAGTGAAGAGATCGAGGCGACAGTGGGATCCCGACCTGGCGAGGCGATGGCGGTTGATTTCGGGGTGGAGATTGGCGGCCGATATCATTTCTTGAGCTCCGAGATCCAGATGGATTGTCAGATGGTGGCGAGGATTCTCGGGGGAGAGCAACAAACCCAGTTGGAGATGGGTCGAGTTTGTGAAGAGATAAGAAGGAAGGCGACTGGGCTGGGGCCTTTTGTTTGGTCTCACATAAGCAGAAAATTGAATGAGCCAGTCCACCTTGTGCCCCATGTAGATTGTGGGTGGGAAAGAGAAGTTATATGTGTAGATAGTCCACCTTCTTTCCTTGTCCAATCTTTACAAGCAGATGTAATGATGCCTAGCAGTTCTTGTTTTGTAAAGTAAACGTTTCTCTCAAAAAATACCATACCTTAGTAGCAATGTTGTCAGAACCGAATCGAAGCATGACCCGGTAATGCGAACGGCTCGCATTTTAGTGGTCCAACCGATATTAGACCGTTTAAAAACCGTTAGAGAACCGGTACCTGATAAAAATTATTAGTATAAATAGTGGACATTTCTTAATCAGAGCTCATCTCTTTCCTTCGAAATTGTGAAATGGAAATAATGATTCAGTTTGAGAGCCCGATGTTTTTGGTTTATTTCAATTTTCTGCAATTTTTTAATTAAATTTAGTGGTTGAATGGCAAAAACCGGACGAGTGGCTCGATTGGCTCGAACGGTTAACCGCCTCGGCCGCTCGCCAACCGCTACATAAAACCGGAGCGGCTTTTAGACTATTTCGAACCAATTTTGTGATTGGGTGGCGGCTTTACCGGTCGGACCGAGCAGCTCGGTTCGGCTTTAAATCACTGCTTAGTAGCTTCTGTGCCGATCCAAATTTGTATTCGTTCCGGTTCCATGTCCACAGGAATAAGGTAAGGGGGAGAAAAACAAACCCAAACTTACCTAAAACAAAAATTGCGAATCATCAAACCAACCCAAATTTGTCTATCAAAAAAAAAAAAAAACCCAAATTTGCACTCAACCCAGTTAGCTGCTTGCCACCCCAAATCGAACTGGTTTCTTCCTAAATGTAAACCTAATACGACGGTGATTATTTCAAGGTAATAAAACGGTGGTCGTTCCAAATACTTAAAGATCGAGAAGATGATTAATTCTTTCCGTTACTTATTTCAGAGCATTTCACCTAATAGTGTAATTATTTATGGTAATTAAAACCCCACCATACCATTTCTTCCCATCTCAAATCATTACCCCTATGGTATGTTGAGATTTTGAGATCTCTTTTCCGTAGTAAGTCGCCTGCATTTTTGGCCCGAGGATGACCAAAAATGGTAAGCAAGAAGAAGAATGACAAACAATATACCCTTTCCCTTCACAAAAAGAATCCCTTCTTCACTGATACATAACAGTTGCGTTGCTTGAGCTTCTTCACCTTCAAAACGACGAGAGAACAAGAACAGATGGTGAGGTACTCTGCTCCATTGTTGCTGAGCTGCTTATGCCTGAGTCTGCTGTTGGGGAGCTCTGAGTCACAACCTCGATGGTACAGTAATCATAAGCACTATTACCGTGGTTCAAGGGCAACGCACTTAGGTTTCCCACGGGGGTCACAAGTCCGGCGATCTTACTGGCAAAACGACGTCGGCCTTATGACCGCCAGCAGGGCGGCGGCGACGCTGCCTTACAGAACGGCGGTGGTTGATCAGTCCGGCCACGGCGATTTCAAGACCGTGCAGTCTGCTATCGACTCTGTCCCTTCAAATAATACCAACTGGGTTTCCATCCAAATCAACGCCGGGACTTATAGGTACTTCCGCCCATAATACTCATACTTGTTTTCCTACTACTCGTAGTCCTGTCACGTGTTTGCAAAATCTTATTGTACCGACGGTTCGACCGAAAAAATCGTTTAACTGTTGAACCACTATTAAATCACGATTTCAACAACGGAATCCCATACTACGATTTTACAATTTTGGTTTTCTTTTCAGTTATGATGTCTTTTTAGTGTCTTCCTCACAAAATGGCATTGATTCTAGGGAGAAAGTGGTGATACCGAAAGAGAAACCATTCATAATTCTGAAAGGAAGAGGAAGAAGAAGGACTAAGATTGTGTGGGATGATCACACGTCGATAGAGTGCCCTACGTTCATGTCCCTAGCCGATAACATCATCGTCAAGGGTCTCGGCTTTGTGGTAATTTAACCTAATCTTGTCGCGGTCGTGCATTTGCCATGGATATTTCGAAATGAACTAGTAAGATACGAATATATACACAAACCTTCATATGTCAAAATACAGGGGGGAAAAAAGTATCTTGGTAAATAACACGTTGAACTAATGATAGGGAAGCTTGTGTTTACCGCGGTGTTTAGAAACTTAATTAGGTACTTGTTTAATAACTTGTATGTTTGTTTTTTTGCCTTGAAATCAAATCAAAACAGAACTCTTACAACTACGGTGGTAGTAGTGAAAACGAATTATTGCCGGCGGTGGCGGCTGAGGTGTCGGGAGACAAGACCTCGTTTTACGGCTGTGGGTTCTCGGGAGTTCAAGACACTCTGTGGGACAATGCCGGCAGACATTACTTCAAGAGGTGCACTATTGAGGGTGCCGTGGATTTCATATTTGGAAATGCCCAATCTATTTACGAGGTATGCACTTTGGATGGATGAGGAATTATAACAAATTAATTTCACTAAATTGTATTTTTGAGATATCAACAAAGAATTTTGAATTAATTTGTTTTAAGTGATTTTCAATTGTACCGATAGACAATTCGAATTGACTCGTTATAATTTACTAGTTTTGTAAAATGAAAGAATTGGTCAAACTATTATAGAATGAGGAACTGGTAAATCTTTCTATGCAAAACTTTTCCTTCTCATTTGGTAGTTTTTCCTTAAATTGGCCCGAAACTCGCACCATTAGACTAATTTGACTAAAATTTTCATCTTGTCCTAAACTAATAACTATATAGACTAATTTGGCCAAATTCGTTGGTTGACTCTCAAAGAATTGGACAAAAAAAATATCAATGTAAATAAAATTAAAAGGATACAAATTCACAATCTTCTTCTATATTTGTATTTCCGTTCCTACATCTATCACTTTTTCAATTTGATGGTTAACTCACGGACCAACGACAAATGAATTTATATAGTCACTAGGGATTTCAGAAAATCGAAGTTAATTTAGAGGTGGGAGCAATTTAAGGTATTAATTAATTTGTTTTAAGCTCTCTAAGTTAACTTGTGGACCTTGTATATTTGAATCAGGAGTGTGCGATAAGAGTAGTTAAAGGAGGATTCATCACAGCTCAAGCAAGAGAAACCGCAGATTCTCCAAGCGGCTTTGTATTCAAAGGATGCACAGTCTCCGGCGTAGGTCTTTCCTACTTGGGAAGGCCATGGAGGCCATACGCTAGGGTCCTTTTCTTCAAGTCCAACTTCTCTCAAGTTGTGGATCCCAGGGGATGGGATCCTTGGAATCTTTCAGACCAGTAAGCCTTCTTTCCTCTTTTCTTTTCTTGCTCGATCCTTCCTTGTAAAGAAACTGCTCTATTAATCTGTATATATATGTGGGTAAAATGGACAGGAAGGGAGTGATCTATGCTGAGTATGGGAATTTCGGACCAGGAGCAGACACATCAAACAGGGTGAGCTGGGAGAAGAAGCTGTCAGTGGATGTGTGGGAGAAGATGACCAGTATGTCTTTCATCAATGAGGATGGATGGCTAGAAAGGCAACCCTACTGACTCAATCACACTGTTTTTGTCCGTAGATAATGCTGCTGCATGGAGTTGTAGCTCAGTTGGACTAGGAAGTTACACTAATATGCTCACTTAGTTTTAAGTTTAACTCTTCTGTTTTTTAATCCTCTTTACTAATGGAACCGAAATGATCACAAAAGGACGTAGCTTTCCACAAGGTAGTAAGATCATGTACGAGGGCTAAAACGACTTTAGTGTGCCATATTTCTTTGATGCCATATGTTTTTTAGAAAATCGAAGAGCAGTAAACATATGAGAACGAGTGACGAATCTAAGCCGTAAAAAGTTGCCGGCAGAGTTGTCAAACTCTTAACAGATTACAATCAGACAGACATTGCAACCATTGTACATTGAACGTTTACCTAGGCTAATACTAGTAGCAGGAAGAGTCTAGCATAGAAACTCTGCTGAAAGCTAGCTTCTAAATGCAGAAAGGTATCACATGAGATACAAGGACAAAATCTTTAATCAAATAACATAACCTCTGCTACATTAGGTCCTACAAGGTTCCAAAGTAAATCAACCGGAAATGGAAGATACATTGTTGACAAGTAACAAAACTTGAAAATCTGGAAAAGACTACTAGCTTCCAACACATCTAGCTCTCGGTCTGCTCCCTCAATCTGCGGATGGTACTCCTCACAGTCACAGCACTTGCGGTACTGTCACAGAAAACACGATTGGGCATCAGCACCACATCAAAAATGGAAAACATATCTGCTGCAAAGTGCAACAAAGTTTTAAAGAGATGCGAGTATATCTTACTTCATGGTGTAGGCACCTCCTGCTTTAACCTTGCCACAGTCCTTGCACCCCCAGATTCCCACAGCCTTTCTCTTCACAGCATCCTGGCAAAAGGGAGAAATAAGCTTTACATAAACCGAATGAGGAAGAAACCAAGAATGATTCAGAAAAGACAGCACCCATCAGTACCTTGCCACAGAACTCACAGAAGTACTTTCTGTGCTGGCTAACTTCCATCTTCTTGATTTGTTTCCTCAGACTGGCACCATAACGGGTTCCTGCAAAACAGGAAAGGAACATGAACATTACCTCCACCATCCACAAATCCATAAACCCCTCAAACATAAACACCATGATACCCTCCAGGAACAAAAGAAATGAAAGCCATTGCAGACAGCAACTAGGAAGACTAACAAACATTCAACCAATTGCACAAAACCAAAAACTTGACACCATGTCCTTCAGAAAACCGTCCTTTTTTTTTCCCGCAGTGATGCGGCAAAAGCAGCAAAAAGGAAAAGGGAGGGAAAACGTACCATATTTGCCGACAATCCCAACCTTCTTGGTTCTCTTGGCCTGTAAAAGAGGAGGGAGGTACAGAGACTCAGCTAGGTCCAGTAAACAACATGGTTAAGTGAAAAGATAACATCAAATCCTTTCGCACAACACAAAACCATAGTTTCAGCATGGAAGCACAGAGCATAACTCTCTCATGGTCTCGCCGAATTATTCAAATCAGATCTCAAATGGCCTAAAAGTCCCAATCGTCACTAAATAAAACGGAAGGATTCGCAGCAGCTAGGATGAAGATGAAAGAGAACTTACCATGGCGGACGGCGGTGAGAGATAGCAGCAGAAACCCTAGGCGAGACTCAACAAAGCGAAAAGACTCAATGACGGGTTGAAGTTCGTTATATATTAGGCTCAATTACACTAATGGTCATTGTAATTTAGGTTAATTGATAAACAGGCCACTAGACTTTGAGTGTTAACAAACTAGTCACTGTCTGCAGACTGAAGGCCTGGGCCGGATGTTGGACCATTTTGGATTCCGATTCCTGTGAAGCCCAAATGGGTAGTGATCCGAAATATTGGCCCTGTTTGTGAAGTTCGATTCTAAATTACTCACTCCTCTAGTCCTCTGCTCACTCGATAGTAAAATTGAGGGCTAATACCACTATAACACCCGAACTATCAACAAAATATCACTTGTATCCCGAATTATTCAATATTCTATTTACGTCATGAACTATTTTTCTGTTAAAGTTGACCGACTTTGACTGTCAGTGTTTAACAGAAAATCCAGTCAGCATTGACGTGACATCTAATGTGAAATTTTTTATTTATTTTTCCATTAAAAATGAATAAATGAAAAATATCAAAATGAAAAATCAAATTTTACAAAAAATGAATCACCCAAAAAAAACTTATAAAAAAGAATAATGAAAAATCATTAATCTCTAGCCCAGTCGTCGCCCCTTTTCTCTGCTTCTCCTCTTCATTTCTCTTAATTCCACTCCCAAAACAATTTTGAAAATCTTCTTGCATTCCCTCATCCCTGGACACAATCGCACGGCAGCGAGATGCACAAATTTGTCGCGAGGAGCGGACTTCTAGAAGGAGGAAGAAGAAAAAACAATCTCTTCTCCGGTCGCCGACGACCTCGAAGTCGGTAATCGAAAGAGACGTCGCGGCCGCGCAGCATAGGAGGAGGTAGAGCGGAAGCCACGACATCTTTGGGCTGAGAGGATTAAAATGGGAGCCGGTTGCAGTTAGGGCTGCAAATGAGCCAAGCTGCTCGCGAGCAACTCGCCGTTCGAATCGGAAAAAACTCGTTCGACACTCGACTCGTTAATTAACAAGCCGGCTCGCGAGCCAGCTCGTTAGTAAATGAGCCAAGCTTGAGCTAGGCCATGCTCGGCTTGATAAGCTCGTGAGCTAGCTTGACTCGGTGGCTTGTTGAGCTAAGCTCGCGAGCTGGCTTGTTTAAAGCTTGTGGAATGATTAATTACTCTTCTAAACATGAAAATTATCTTGTTAATAAGGATATGTATGGAAGTTAGATGTTATTTTTAGTTTTAGTGTTCTTTTTATGATTTTTAGTTTCTAATGTTCTTATTTGTATACATTTTTCAGCAATAATGGTTTCAAATCGATCTTATCTTGAGCCGAGCTTGTACTCAGCTTGACAAGCTGTGTTAATGAGCATTTACCGAGCTCTATCGAGCCGAGCTCGAGCTGGATTATTTTTAATCGAGTCGAGCTCGAGCTCGAGCTGGATGATCAAAATTCGAGTTCGAGTCGAGCTCGAGCCAAAAAATTTATAAACGAGCCGAGCTCAAGCTAAGCAAAAACTCGACTCAACTCGGCTCGTTTGCAGCCCTAGTTGCAGTGGGATAGTTCCAAAAAGGAAGCTTAGATCTGGTGGGAAAGGGGAATTAAAGCAATGAAAATGAGGGAGAGAGAGAGAGAGGGGATTCGATGGTGGTTGTAGGATAAGAAGGAAGCCATGAAAATGGGAAGGTGAGCTTTTGTTCTTGGTGGGTCGATTGATTTGGGGGGACGAAGGTGGAGAGCAGGTGCTTGGCGCAAATTCTCATAAGTTGTGCTAGAATTGAAATATTGAATAAAATATGACACAAGTGACATTTTTTGAATAGTTCGAGTGTTGTGGTGGTATTAGCCCTAAAATTGATAAAGGAAATGAGATAGTTGACAATCGAAAATTAAGGGGGTTTAATGGTTCAATTTGTTTAAAGTGACATTAAAAAACTGAATCGCTATTCGTCGCCCTAAAATTTAAATTTTATCGCTCTAAAACACATTAAATTGACACTTTTAACCCTAACCTTAATTTCTAAACCGTACACTAAGCAAACAATCCCTAAGGTCTCATCTCATTCCAAATAGGGATGGCAACAAAACCCGAACCCACGGGTACCCACCCGACCCAACCCGGTCAACGTGGGTAAAATCCGTGTTGACGGGTTTTGGGCCAGGTTTGGGTTTAAACCCGTTCACTATTCACCGGGTTGGGTTGGGTTTGGGTTTAGGTAAACCCGGCCCGTGGGTACCCGCCCACCCATATAATTAATTTTTTCGGTATATTTAATATTCTAAACAACTATTCTTATTTATGTTTGTGGAGACATGTCTAATTTTTTCTTTTTAATTGTGTAGAATGAAGTTGATGTTATGGAGTGGAGAGTAAAGAAACTTAATTGAAAGAAAGAAGCTTTCAATTAAACATGTTATTTATGGATAATTTGTTATTTGCTTCAATTTTCTTGAGTTTTCTAGATTGGTGTTGAACAATTTGTATAATTAATTTGTGATTTGCTTGAATTTTCTAGAATGGTGTTTTATATATGGATAATTTGTATTGAGAGATTGATATTTGACTTTAATTTTGATAAGAACTTGTAATTGTAAATTTTTTACGACAAAACCCGTGGGTACCCATGAACCTGCGGATACCCAACGGGTTTGGTTGGGTTTGAGTTTTTCAAACCTAGTGGGTTTTACCCCGGGTTTTTTTCAAAGATAAACCCATGGATTTGGGTTTGGGTTTGACAAAACCCGACCCAACCCGACCCGACCCATTGCCATCCCTAATTCCAAACCTGATCCCCCGCCTCTGCATTTGGGCAGGAAAATATGTCACCCACCCTTTCCATTGCTGCTGCCACTGCCGTCCACCAGCTCGATTCCGCTGACACTCTCAAAAGGAGGTTTCTTCTCCCGTCACTGCTGCTCCTTGTACCGCCGCCCCATTGCTCCTGCTGCGGTTGCTCTCAAGAAGGAGGAAGAAGGAAGAAAGAACCAGGAAGGAAGAAGAGGGCCGATCGCGAGGAGGAAGAAGAAGACGGCCCGACCGGAGGGGGAAGAAGGCCATCTGAACGAGTAAATTAAGAAGAAGACGAAAAGGAAGAAGACATGGATTGTTTTTCACGTATTTGATTAGTCTGCATTTAATAATGATTTGCAGTGTGTAATTTGCCCTGCATTTTGTTGCAGAACAATTTTTGGTTTAGATCAGAATCATTAGATGGCTAATGGTCAAATGGACCACCCTAATTGTAATCAATATAGGATAGTAATTTTGTTTTTGGATTTATCCGTAAACCCGATTTCTTCATTTATCAATTGATTATATTGGTGTGTTTTTGTTATTTGGTAGTTTTTTTTACAAAGGTTATTTGGTAGTTAATGGGTTTGTTTTGGGTATAAGTGTTTGAAAGAAAAGAAGAAAAAAAATAAGTGAAGAGCATTAGAGTAAATTTAACATAATTAGGGGCGACGAATAGCAATGGCCATAAAAAAGGGTAAATTACAAGTTTGGTCACTAGAATTATTACAAGATTTCACATTTGCCACCAAAATTATTTTATCCCATTCATGGTCACTAAATTAGTTAAAGAGTCCAAGTTTTGTCACTGGTCGTTAGTTTCTGTTAGTCTCCGTTAACACCGTCAGCTTTTTACTGACGTGGCTAAAAAAGAGGCTGAGTTAGCCGAATTTAATCCAAAAAATTTTAACCCAACCCGCCACGTTCATAAACACCCAACCCGTGCTCATCCAAACCTAGAGACCCGTGAGTCGTGACCCAAACTGAGAAGATTTAGGGATTTGGATGAATTTGCCAGAGAAACAAATTGGGGAAAATCGCTCACACTGAGCTTTTCCATTGATAGCAGTATATATACACTTCACTAATCTACCATTTACACTAACTGTTCACTAGCCGTTAAACTAACTTTCTAACTAACCAATGAATGCTGTACAAGTGGCTAATTACACAGTAAAACTTGAAACCGACGACTTAGCCTAAAACGGTGCGTTGCTTCTCTTCTTTCCTCTTGCCCTTCTGCACGACGTCGTAGTCTTCCTCTTCTTCTGCTGCACTTCTTCGACTGCAGGGCAACTCTGCATCTTCTTCCTTGAGGTCAGCAACTAATGTAGGAGCTGCTTCACATTCACTCGAGCTCCTTTTCACCCTCCCACAAGCTGGCGAGTATAGATTATATACTCCCAGCTTGGACAACAACATGATAAACCGATCAATCGACAAACTTTTGGTGAAGATGTCTGCTAACTGCAACTCAGTAGGTATATAATGTAAAGAGATCATTCCTTATTGCACTCTTTCTTTGATGACGTGACAATCCACCTCAATGTGTTTTGTCCTCTCGTGAAAAACTGGATTGTCTTCTATGTGTAATGCAGACTGATTATCACAGTATACTGAAACAGAATTGTCATGCTGAATTCCAAACTCTGAGAGTAATCTGAGTAGCCACTGCACTTCACAACTCAAACTTGCTAAGGCCCTATACTCTGCTTCTGATGAAGAACGAGATACAGTTGTTTGTTTCTTACTCTTCCAACTCAGTAAACCAGTTCCAAGAAAGGTGCAATATCCTGTAATTGACCTTCTTGTATCAGGGCAAGTAGCCCAATCACTGTCACTGTATCCCTTTAATTGCAAATCTGAATCACATGAGTATAGAAGGCCTTGTCCAGGTGACCCTTTTAGATATCTCAGAACTCTGTGTAAGGCTCGAAGATGCTGTGTAGTTGGCTTGTCTTGGAATTGACATAGCTGTTGAACAGCAAATGTAATATCAGGCCTAGTGGTGGTTAAATACTGAAGTTGTCCCACTAAGTGCCTGTATTCACCAACATCTTCGAGTGGAGTACCACCTTCTGAAGATAGAACTTCTTTAACAAAGATTGGAGTTGCTGCAGGTTTGCAATCTCCAAATCCTGATTCGGCAATAACATCAAGACAGTACTTCCTTTGGGAGACTGTAATCCCTTGCTTCCCACGAGCTATTTCCAAACCAAGGAAATAACTCAATTCTCCTAGATCCTTCATTTTGAAGTCAGTATGCAACATTCTCTTTACTGCATTAATTGAGTCCAGACTCAAACTTCCTAGAACAATATCATCCACATAAACTATAAGCACTACCAACTCATTCAGAACATGAGCAGTGAAGATTGAGTAATCACATGTAGACTTCTTAAAACCATGATTAACCAACGAATCAGTCAACTTTGCATACCATTGTCGACTTGCCTGCTTCAAGCCATACAAAGACTTCTTCAATTTGCACACTTTCCCTCTGTGTTTTCCATCAAGATCCAAACCAGGTGGCAACACCATGTATACTTCCTCTGTCAAATCTCCATTGAGGAAGGCATTGCTGACATCCATTTGATGTAAATGCCATCCTTTAACTGCTGCAACTGATAACAACATTTTTACTGAGGCCATCTTGGCTACTGGTGAAAATGTATCACAATAATCAATCCCATAAACCTGAGTGTACGTACCCCTTTGCAACCAATCTGGCCTTAAACCTGTCAACTGTGCCATCAGATTTCAACTTCAATCTAAACACCCACTTGCACCCTATTGCATTCTTATCAGCTGGCAAATCTGTGATTTCCCAAGTACCATTATCAAACAGTGCTTGTAGTTCTTCTCTTATAGCTTCATTCCATTCAGGATGTTCTGAAGCTTCAATGTAAGTACTTGGTTCCATATGAGTGATCAAAGAATTAACAAACTTCTGGAGTTTAGGTTGCAAGTGGCAGTAGGAAACACTCTTACTCTGGGGATACTGTATATCATAGTCAGAATGCCAGACAAGAGGTTTTGATTCTCTTGTTGATTTCCTGAGAGGTATGGGTGGATCTTCATGGGGAGAAGGACATGGGTAAAAAGTGTATGTGGAAGAAGAAGGAGAAGGGGAAGTAGAAGTAGAAGAGGGAGTTTTAGATGGAGATGGTGATAAAAGGAAAGGAACAGATGCATCAGAACCAGTAGAATCAGGAGAAAAAGTGACTTCATGAAGCTCATCAGGATGTGAAGTAGAGGGAGAAGGAGTGTCCTCCTCAGACTGATGAGGGAAGGAAGTCATAGGATTGGGAGGAAGAACTGGTGACTGAGCATGAGAAGAAGAAATTTCAGAAAAGATTGGTGTAGATGAAGTATTTGTAGGTGGAGAAGTAGGATTTTTGTAGGGGAGAATGTGCTCATAAAAGACCACATCTCGATAAACAAAAACTTGTTTAGTATCAAGATTCAACAACTTAAAACCCTTGATGCCCAATGCAGTCAAAATCGGGATTTTGATCGTAAAATCGTAGGATTTTAGGATTTTACTTAGGGATTCCGATCCTGATTTTACTCTAAAATCGATGGACCTTAAAATCGTTCAAAATCGGGATTAAAATCGTTAAAATCGTAAAATCTTACCAAAATCGGGATTTTGATCCTATGTGCACAAAATAGGAAGCTTGAGCCAATTCAAAAGAAGCAGAATTGTTTCGGCGGAAAGGGCAATGACGGTGATCTTCTCATATATTTTTCCTATTAAAAGAACATTTGAAAAGAAGAAAAAAACTAATTAGGGTTCGGTCAACCCCTTTCCCTTCTCCTTGTTTAACTCATCGGTAAAACAATTGTCAGAATATTGTTAGTACGTAAGAATTAACATCATTATTAACAAATTATTTTATTAATGAATATATTTTTACCAAACCAATGACATTAATTATTTTATTGGATTTCAGTTATTCTTAGTTTTAAATCATGCTTAGTAGACGATGTCGGAATACTACTTTGAGTTAAACTACCTAGACACAACATGAAAAACAAGAGCCAAATCCCATGATCTCTATCCCTTCCTCATAAATTATTTTGAGTTACACATTAAATAACAATTAAAATGATGATTTTGGAACATTAATCTTAAAAATTATCACTTTAAATGTTATAAGTCTTTGTGTTATTAATTATTTACCTTATTAATATTATCATATGTTAATTTCTATATGGCACTTAAAATCCTACGATTCTACAATTCGATTTTACGATTCCGATTTTACCCCAATTTTCGATTTTAGGTAAAATCCCGATTTTAACTGCTTTGTAATGATGCCTGCTGGTATACCAAGGAAGATGCACTGTTTGGCTCTTGGATCAAATTTTGTTCTAGGATGGCCAGCTGTGGTTGCATAAGCCAAACAGCCAAATACCTTTAAACTAGTATAGTCAGGAGGCAGGTTGTGAAGGATCTCAAATGGTGTTTTGTTGTGCAGAATGGGAGTAGGTGTTCTGTTGATCAGGTATGCTGCATGAAGGATAAAATCACTCCAATACAACAGTGGGAGACCTGACTGGTATTTTAATGCTCTGGCAACATTAAGTAGGTGTTGATGCTTTCTTTCAACCCTACCATTCTGCTGTGCAGTGTAAACAACACTCATTTGATGGATAATGCCTTCAGTGTTATAAAAATCATTCATATGGAACTCCTGACCTTGGTCAGTTCTGAGTATTTTCACATTGGTATTAAACTGTGACTGGGGCTGGGATTCGGATTTCCGGTTAACGGTTTAACCGGTAACCGTACTGATAACCGTGATTACCAGTTAAACCGTTAACCGGAAGGTAACGGTTGTCGGATGGAAGATTGGGATGGCGGTAATACCGGAACCCGGGTGCCTGTTAACCGGCGGCAACCCGGTTATCCGATACCGATTTGCAGGGGGCTGCAGTTGTAGTTCTCCTAATTAGTAAATAATACTCTAGTGTATTAGGGAACGGAATTGGACTAATTAATTACTAAATTAATATGAGACCCTCGCTCTCTGCTAAGCTAACCCAACCCTCACGAGTTACAAGTATCCCCGCCCAATTGGAAGTTTGGAACCCCAATCGGCAATCGTGGTCATCTCCGACGCCGGCGCACTCAGACCGACGAGCCACGAGGTAGCAGCCCAGCAGCGCAACCTCTCTGTCGACTCCAGCACCGCGTCCTATCCGTCGGGCGTCAACCCCAGCGCGCTCGACTGCATCGCCGGAGCAGCTTCCTGCTTCCCTGACCGAGTAGCCGTAGCAACCATAACATCGTGCGACTCCGCTTCAGCCTTCAGGTTTGTATTGTTGCCTTGTTCTGTTGTTGTATGAATTATGATGATGATTGATGTCGGTCCAGCTTCCCCGCTGCAGCAGGCAACAACTGTGTTGCCTTTTGTTTTTAAATGAACAGATGGTTTGATTTTTACAGGGGACGAGCACATCATTTGAGCTGTAGAGGACTAGAGTAGAGCACGTGTGAACAGAATAAGGAAGAGGGCAAGAGCCAAGAAACAGCAGCCCAGAATTCACTTTTTATTTATTTATATAAATAGAAATCGCTTTGCTTTTCATTTAACAAGAGGAAGTAAGCAGTTGGGTTGTATTAATGGGAAGCAACAACAGAATATAAATATATATGGAAGAGATACGTTAGCTTGGGTGATTGTGACTGGAAATGGGAATTACGAATTAGTGGGCAGTGGGTAGGGGCATTGGCGCATTGCCATTAATGCATTTGTGGTGCTTTTGAGTCAACAGGTGGCGTACGCTGGCAGCAGGCAGCACAGCAGCACACATTCGGTAAAACGGGTTACCGTCCAAAACACCGGGACACACTAATTCGGTAACCGGTGTACCGAGCTGAATTCGGTATCGGCAAACGGCGGTGGATATGGGAGTGTAGGTATACCGGTAACCGGTTAAACGATAACCGGTTTAACCGGTTACCGACCGATTACCACCCCTGTGACTTCACCATAGCACAGAATGATTGGAGGAGAGGTCTAGCCTCATCCTTAGATCTCATAAGATAGGTCCACACACATCTAGAATGATCATCCACTAAAGTCAAAAAATAGCTATAGCCATTGTAAGAAACTGTGTTTAATGGACCCCAAATATCTGCATGTAATAATCCAAAAAGAACAGGACTAACAGATGAACTGGAAGGAAATGGGAGCCTTTTCTGTTTGGCTAAGTGACAAACATCACAATGAGTATAAGGGGAAGCTATTACATCAGGAGAAACTTTGTGAATAGCTTGTAATCTAGAAACATGTGGATGTCCTAATCTGGCATGCCAGAGATCAAACTGCTGTGGCTGGAAGTTGTGAGAAGTGGCTGCAAGACACTGAGGTGATGAATTGGAAAATGGTGTCTTGGTGAAAAGGTAAAGTCCTCTATCCACTTGGGCTAAACCAATCCTCTTCTGTGTAATAAGGTCCTGAATAACACAGACAGAGGATTGAAAGGTAAGTGAAACAGGGTTTTGTTTGGTTAACTTGCTTACTGAAACAAGATTGTAGCTAAAAGTGGGTACTAATAGGACTTGTGAAAGAAACAAGCCACAAGGAAGTTTAACTACACCTATGTGTGTGGCCTTTACTTGTTCACCAGTAGGCAAAGTAACAGAAACACCATCAAGGACCTTATACTTACTGAAAAACTTAGAACTACAGATGATATGGTCTGTAGCTCCAGTATCCAAAACCCACAATGATTCACCAGAAGAAGCAATAAGAGCTGAGAGTGCTGTAGTACCTAAGCTGGATGGCATGCAAGCCAATTGAGGAGGTTGTCTGTTGACTGGAACAGAACGAGTAACTGCATTTGCAGTGTGCACTGATGGAGAAGTAGGAGGAGATGGGGAAGGAGATGGTGACTTGAAGAGCATTAGTTTCAACTTCTCCATCTGCTCATGAGTGAAAATGCTATCCAGACTCATACGATTGTCAGGGGAGGCAGTAGAATTCTCATAAGGAATGGAACTCTCCACTGAACCAGCAAAACCAGCTTCTGCCTCTCTGGCCTTTTTGTTTTTCAGTCTATAACAGTCCTTGATAACATTTCCTTCTTGCAGTAGTTGCAAATTTTCTTACCATCCTGACCTTGCTGCTGTTGCTGGCCTCTTCCCTTAAATTGATTGGAATTGGATGATCCCACAGCCAAGGCAAGAGAATCAACACTAGGACCTTTGTTAAGAGCTTTCAGTTGTCGTTCAAGCTGTAGAATCTGCTTGAAGACTGTGTCAACATGAGGTAAAACTGGCATCACCAAAACTTGAGTCCTAGCTGATTGATAAGAAGGGTTTAGCCCTTGGAGAAACTTGATGACAAAGTCATTATCCTCGTACCTCCTCAGGGTCTCATAAGGACCAGGTACACAAGGACACACTGGGATAGGTCTGTATCTCTTGAACTCTTCCCAGATTACAGTGAGATTGGTGAAATACTAACTCACAGAATCATCACCTTGAACACATTTAGCCAATTGACCTTTTAGATCATAAACACGAATGTTGTCCTCCTGGCTAAAACGATTCTTCAAGTTATCCCATACATCCTTAGCTAACCCTAGCCTCATCACACTGTTTGCTATGTCATCAGACAATGAATTGTAAATCCAGCATCGAATGGTACCATTGCATCTAGCCCAAGATTGGTAATGAGCATCAGTTACCTGAGGGACAGGAATTCGACCATCGATGAACTGAGATTTGTTCTTCGTTTCCAGAGCTAACAGCATGACCTCACTCCAGGTATGGTAATTTCCATCGCCAAGCTTGATGGAGATGATCGTGGGTAGAGCACCATCTTGAGGAGGTAGGTAATAGGGATTGAGGTAAGGATCTTCATACTGGGATACAACAGCTTTGTATTTTGCAGAAGAGTCAGATCTAGATTCAGATCTAGATTCATTGTTAGGTGAAGCTTCCTGTGAGGCACCTTCACCTTCCATTGATGATGTAGATTAGTGACAGAAGTAGAAGAAAGAAATTGCAGAAATGGATTTTGATCGAGAAGAAGAAAATGGATCTGAGCGCGATGAGCAGCGCTCTGATACCATGAGAAGATTTAAGGATTTGGATGAATTTGCCAGAGAAACAAATTTGGGAAAATCGCTCACACTGAGCTTTTCCATTGATAGCAGTATATATACACTTCACTAATCTACCATTTACACTAACTGTTCACTAGCCGTTAAACTAACTTTCTAACTAACCAATGAATGTTGTACAAGTGGCTAATTACACAGTAAAACTTGAAACCAACGACTTAGCCTAAAACGGTGTGTTGCTTCTCTTCTTTCCTCTTGCCCTTCTGCACGACGTCGTAGTCTTCCTCTTCTTCTGCTGCACTTCTTCGACTGCAGGGCAACTCTGCATCTTCTTCCTTGAGGTCAGCAACTAATGTAGGAGCTGCTTCACATTCACTCGAGCTCCTTTTCACAAACCCAATCCACTCCTTCGTTGATTCAACTCTCTCTTCCTCCATCTCTTGTCAAACACCACACTCTCGGATTCACCCTCTCTTCCTCAATCTCCTCGCCAAAACCCCCTTGCCAAAATCCCAACTGGCTACCCACTCCCTTCCCAGAACCCCCAGCCTGCCATCAGCTCTCTATTCTCAAAACCCAACCCCCACCATCAGCTTAATTGATGAAGCTCATTGTTCCTCCGCCACCATCATCTTTTTTTTTATGGGCAATATCAAAAATTTCATTAAGCACTATGTGACCCCTTTTAAGTAGGGGTTCACATCTGGATCTTTACAATCAGCAGCAGAAAGTGACTACTGCTACTTTCTCTACTTATACACAGCAAACAATAGAACCAAAGAAACTAACCTACCCACTATATTTACTGACTGAATACCACTCTACAATCTGTATCGAGAGCTGCATTGCCACATCTGGCCAGCTCTATATTCCTACGCACTGTCCTGACCATTTCCCCAGCCTGCATTGAAGAGGTACCATACAATCTCCCACAGCGTTCCCTCCAAATCAAACTCACAACTAAATTCCAAACCAACCATGGCAAATGCTTTCTTCCCCTTGAAAGTTCTAACCGCCCACTGCAAGTAATCATATAACCATTCAGCTGAGGGCTAGTCAGGTTAAGCATAAGCAGACAGCCATCATCGTCATCTAGATCTGTGGGAAAGGCTGGTAGGAAGAAAGGAAAAACACGAATTTCGCTGGAAGAAAGGAAGAACACATATTCCACGAACCCATATGTCGTCGGAAGAAAGAAAGAATTCAAATTGAGCGTTGTAGGATTGAACAACGCCCTTTATGGTGGAGAAAGTGCCCAACCCATTTCCCCAGCTGCCTTGCCTCACCCCTCGATACCGCAACTTGCGATGATTTGAGTTGCCGACTCTGTTGCTAATGGCGGCGGAGGGAGATGAAGGATCCAACTCTCACGAACCCAGAGCAGTCGGAGCCCCGACCTCCTTCGTTGTTGCTGTCGCTTCATCATTGCCATAGCCTCCTTCTAAGCATCTCGATTTCGATGGAACTGGACCCGAGGACAACAACGTTTGGTGGAAGGCCAAGAGTTCTCACACGGACTCCACGGATGTGCATCTCCCAAGAAGGTTCAACGAGGATATGGCAAAGAGTTCTCGCTAAACTGGCGGTGGCGCCGCCGAAGTGGCCTTGTAGTTGGCGGCGCTGATCGACGATTGAGGAGATGCCGGAGATGATCGAAGAGATGTCCCGTTGCTGCCAACTCCATCGACGATTGAGGAGATGTCGGAGATGATCGATTGACGAGATTGCTGCACCGACCGACGATTGAGGCCTCTCACGTTTTGTCTCTGTTTGCTCTATTTTTGGTTAATCGACATTGAATTCATCTCCTCTCATCCATTAAAATCATTTTGTCCCTTGGCCATGCTAAGGGGAGAGGATGAGTCACTAAAGCGGGGGAGAGCGCGCATTGTTTTAGGCCACAGTGGCAAGCCTTCATTTAGCGACAACTGGGGAGTCGGGAGGTGGAAGAGAGAGTTGGAGAAGAAAGGGGAGTGGGTCGGGTGGGAGTGTGTATAGGGTTGAGTCATGGGTTGGTTTTGATAATGTGTCCAGTTTTGATGATGTGGTGGGTCAATTATAAAAAAAATTGGTCAAAATATGCTGATTTGGCATTTCTTTTAACAATGTGAGCAAAAACTGAAGGCATTTACGAAAGCTAATTGTTAGCGACTAAATTTGGATTTTTTAAGTAATTTTAGTGATCATGAATGGAATAAAGTAATTTTAGTGGCAAATGTGACATTTTTTAGTAATCTCAATGACCAAATTGCAATTTAGCCATTTTATAAAAGTAGTGTGGTTTGTGGTTTTTGTGGCATGTATGGATTTTTTTGGCATGCTTCATTGTGTTTGTTGTGTGTTTTAATAAACTTGTGATATGCTTTATAGGACTTGTGGTATGCTTCATGAAATTTATGGTCTGTTTTATTAGATTTGTGGTATGCTTCATCATCGGATTAGTGGTCTACTTTAGAAACTTGTGGTGTGCTTTATAAAATTTATAAAATTATGGTATGTTTTATAGAATTTGTGGTATGCTTTAGTAAACTTAAACTCATGGGTTGCTGAGAACCTCCATATATTAGTTGCTTATATTGTAAAAAAAAAAAAAAGAGAATGATGTGGGTTGCTGAGAACCTCCATATATTGGTTGCTGAAAACCCGAGGTAAAATCCACTGAGTTTATCTGTGAAAAAAACTCGGGGTAAAATCCACTGGGTTTATCTATGGAAAAAACCCGGGGTAAAATCCACTTGGTTTGAAAAACTCAAACTCAACCCAACCCGCTGGGTATCCGCGGGTTCATGGGTACCTATGGGTTTTTGTCGTACAAATTTACAATAACAAGTTCCTATCAAAATAAAAGTCAAATATCAATCTCTCAATACAAATTATCCATATATAAAACACCATTCTAGAAAATTCAAGCAAATCACAAATTAACCATACAAATTGTTCAACGCCAATCTAGAAAACTCAAGAAAATTGAAGCAAATCACAAATTATCCATAAACAACATGATTAATTGAAATTTTCTTCCTCCTTATCAATTAAGCTTCTTCACTCTCCACTCGATAATATCAACTTCATTCTAGACAATTAGAAAGAAAAAAATTAGACATGTCTCCACAAACATAAAGAAGATTAGTTGTTTAGAATATTAAATATACCAGGAAAATTAATTATATTGGTGTGGGCGGGTACCCATGGGGCGGGTTTACCTAAACCCAAACCCAACCCTATGAATAGTGAAGGGGTTTAAACCCAAATTCAAACCAGAACCCGTCAACACGGGTTGGGTCGGGTAGAATACCCGCGGGTTCGGGTTTTGTTGCCATCTCTAATTGCTTAGATGTATTTTTTTTAACTTTTAAATTGAGAATGAAGGGTACAAGAGATATTTATGTTTAAAAATAATTTTTTAGTTATATTACAAACACAATCATAAATACCAAACAACAAATTTATCAACATATATATATATGGTTCAGGCTAGCATACGACAGGCGTACGTTGTACACCTATGTTCACACCTATTAATTATTATTAATTAATTACCAGTAAAATCAATAATTATAATTACAATCACACCCATTAATTATCTTTCAATACTATTTAGTCCCATTCATCAAACAATTTAAAGAACCACCCAATTTGTATTTGCAATCATCCCAACCCAATATCACAAAGCAATTAAAACAAAAACAACACAACCTTCCATCTTGCCATTTTTAAATTCGGAACCTCCCTACAGATTTAGATGACAAGAAACAGCTCGAAGAGCAAACAAACCCACAAACTTAAAAACTGAAATTAATTCAACTGACGGAGAAATTGGTGCGACAGCGTCAGTGCCAGGAGAAGCATGATAACCGTCCTCTTCGCTCAGGCAATGAAAGAAGATCTTGCGGGACGGTGACGAAGTCAAAATCGAAGATGGCGTAGCGACAGTCGTCGTCCGGAAGCGAATCTGCGAGGTCGTCGTAGTTCTCGCCGGCGCCGCCAACCTTGTCGACGGCGACGAGCCCTGTCTTCTCGTCGATCTTGAAGACGATGTAGTGGTGCACTCGTCGCCACATCCCGCTCGCTGCCATATATACTTAATGCCAGCGCCATTGTTGATCGAGAAAGAGGTTTTCGAGAGACCGAGTCCCAGGGCTAAAGATCCCAATCTTCTGCCGCCTGCTCCATGCTTGCTAATCCGCCGCTTGCTTGCTTGCTATTCTCTCGGCTTGGTTCGTCGGGTTGACGACGAATCCTCCGATGAACTACAAGACGAAGAGAAAGAAGTGTAGAACGAGAGCGGCGATGGCGGCGAGTAATGTTGCCGGCCGCGGTGGTGGCGTCTCGAGCAACAGCAACATTCCTCCGGCGCCGCATCCTTAGCTGTGGCGACGAAAGAGAGACCGACGAGCAAATCAACGAAAGCGGCAACGATGTAGTCGTGGTTTCTCTTGTCGTTCACCGTCAGGTAACAGCCCAGCAGCTTCTCCAGAGATTCCCAATCGCGCATCCCGTAGGCCTCCACCATCTCCGCCATTGATTGCCTGAAATCTTTCAACGGATCTCGACAGTCCAGCGTCACTGCCTGTGGGCCTCCACTTCCTTGGCTGGGGTTGATGAATGATCTTGTGGATGGAGGAGCTCGCTTCGCCGGGGGAGAAGAAGAGGCGTCAGGGATAATTATTTCATTATTTGGATAACAGTTTGAGTTACAATTTTAATAAATTGGATTGAAAGTTCTAAATAGTAATTTGGGTGTTTTAATCATAATTGGAAGAATGAAAATATTATGCTTTATATAATGGTAATTGATTTTAGTATAACGTCGGATAAAAAGTTTGTGTGATTAAAACGTACAAAAAAATTTATTAGTGGGTGTGGTTGTAAACTTGTAATTATATTTTACAGTTAATTTAATTAAAAATTAAAATTAATTTATGAGTGTGAACAGTGTACGCTAGCCTTTGCCATATATATATATATATATATATATATATATATATATATATATATATATGGTGGCGTATTCGGCGCACCCACTTTTTTGGGTGCACTCAGTGCACCCGCTTCATAATCATCATTCTGAGCATGCGATTCATGTCAAAATGATATCAATTGTTGCTTATGATATTATGAACAATAAGCACATGAATTTGAAAAAAAATCATTTAAGATTTACTTTAATTTGAAGGATTTAGGATTTAGGGCTTAGGGTTAGGGTTTAGGTTTACAAATTGGGATTTTGCATTGGGATTCAAAATTGAAGGTTAATGGGTTAGGGCAATAGATTGATTTGTTATGATTCTATGTCATATCATCATGTTAGATTGAGAGTACTGATTAAATATCAAAATTTGATGTATTATGGACACTTTTTGAGATGAGTGCACTGAGTGCACCCAAAAAAGTGAGTGCACCGAAGTAGCCACCATATATATATATATATATATATATATATAATACATTTGTTGATCATAATGCCTCAATCTAACAATTGGAGTATGAAGAAACCAATCGACCCTTGAAAATATGAGTTCTGAGTTATGGATGGTTTTATCTTATGAAGACCGCTCAGATAGAAAAATAACTAAAATAAGTACAATGGCGAAATTGAGAAGAAAAGGGAAATAAATAGGGTAGGAAGTGAGTGGAGCGAGCGAGGAATAGAGAGATCAGAGAAGGAAAGGTCCCAAGCCAAGACTAATATTGACAAAGACGCAGCTCACGACGACTCACAAGTACACTACACACAAACAAATAGCAGGGAAATTTTTTGGGCAATATAGAAAAAGAAATTGAAAGCTCCATCGCTGTCCCATTGCCGAAAGCCGCAGGAGAGAGAGAGAGAGAAGAGAAGGAGAGAAATTGCCGAAACCCACTCTTCCTTCCCAGTCATCATCATCTTCTTCCTTTGTTCAACTCAATTTCCTCTCTTTCTTCGGAGCCTGTCCTTCTCCCTCCCCCGGGGCTCCTCCGCCCCGACCCGGATCTCCCCCCGCCGCACGCATTTCCCCACCTCTACACGCCGCCGGCAGAGCAAATGTACTCCGCCCTGCACTCTCTACCGCTGGACGGGAGCAGCATAGTCGGCGGTGGAGTAGCTGGAGCGGGGCACGTGGATTTCCAGGGGTCGTTGGATGGGACCAATCTACCTGGGGATGCGTGCTTGGTTCTCACCACGGATCCGAAGCCCCGCCTCCGCTGGACCGCCGAGCTCCACGAGAGGTTTATCGACGCCGTTACCCAGCTGGGAGGACCTGACAGTAAGTTCTTTCAACAAAATTTCTCCCCCATTCCTTCAAATTTTGGGTCCCCCTTTTTCTCCGCTCAACGAGCTATGCCTTTACTGTGGAGAGTGAAGGAACTTTTGGACCATTCGTTCCTCTCTCTTTCAATTCAGCCATTTCTTTGCAGTTCCATGTTGTGGGTTTCATTGATTACCTGGGTTACCGTTTTGAAGTCGCTAAATTTGATAGTTAACTGGGGATTTTCTGCGGCAGGTTTCCCCTTTACTAGTTGACCTTCCTTGCCCATTAGAAATGCAGTCTTTTGGTTGGTTGAATGTGTTGAGATTTGACAATCAGGCCAATTCCTTACTTTTTCAGCCTGCCTATTGATGTACATATTTAATCTTTGAAGTGGGCGGATAAATTTTGGATGGTAGTTGCATGATGTATGAGAAGATGTTTGTTTCTCGGTATTATATATATCTACACTTATTGCCTTCCCATTAACCAGCTTTCGTCTCTAACTAGACAACTTCTCTGTTTCTTGTTCTTGTTGGCTTTGTGCTTGTTTATCTTAAAAGAATCATATTTCCGTGCCAAACCATTTCCATAGATTACAGTAGAAAAGACAAACCAGAAGAGCCAGGATCTTGTTGACTCTGCAATACCAGGAATCTTCTGAATTTTATTTTGGCTGAAATTTGTAGTTAGAACTCTTAGCCGGTAGGAAATTTCACTGTGGATTTTTGTTTAACCCTGATAGCAATGGTGAGAGGTGGTCTCATTACATTCTTCTGTTCTGCAAAGATTTCTAACTGTTATTGGCTGCATACCTTAACGGGGAAATGGTAGCTGCTTATTGGCACTAGTCTAAAGTGTCAGTGACCTGACCTGGAACCCGGGGAGTGGAGTTCCTCAGCATGTGTTCTGGACCACTGACTGTGGTTCAACCTGCATCTTGACTCATGGACCTGTTTACAAGTTGTTGGACTTGAATTCTTTGAAGAGAACTTTGCATATAATATGCTCACAAGATCCTAGAACTTCAGGAAATGAGCGCTGGTGAATGATTGAAAAGAAAAATATAGCTTTTGACAGTTTGCTTGATTTTAGAAAGTGCGAGTCATTTGTCATAGTTGCACCTACCTGGCATGCTGCAGAAAGATGAAGTAAGGATTCAAAGGGGACTTCCTTGTCCTATGGAGACCTCAAGTTTAATTTCCAGTATAAACTGGGTTGACCATTGTCATTCTGGTTGAAATGCACGCACAAGGAGCTTGTATGAGCGATAAAAATATGAATTCCAGTGTTTGAGACTCGAGAGGACAAGTTTTAGCCAATTAGGCTCCAGGTCCGCTAACTTGCTGATGCTGCCTGTTGTTTATATTGATACCCAACCATTCATATCGTATGCTGACAATTCTTTTATTGTAAAATTTTGCTGCATTAATGTGTCAAGTTCAGCATGTGGAGTTATTTTTATTAGAACCCTTTTTTTAATAAGAAAGGTAATTATGGACGGGTTGGTATAACCGTATAAGCAAGGAAGGTAACAACAAATAAAATAGGAAATTGTAATTCCTGAGGTTGATATTGATATGTATAGTAGCTGTTTTACATGCATCTCCTGTAGATGGCTGATTTGCAGCTGCGTTCTACTTTTTCTCAATTCAGGCATTTGTATCCTTTCTCATCTTTTTATTTTCTACCTTTTGAAGCTTGGTTAAGAATCAATGACATTTGATATGTATATCTTACTTATTCCATTTTTCCCTTGCTTTTGTGATGTTGCAGAAGCGACCCCTAAAACAATAATGAGGACAATGGGGGTAAAAGGCCTCACTCTTTATCACTTGAAATCCCATCTACAGGTTTGTTTTTGTATAGATGCTTCTTCTTTGTTAACCTTGTCTTGATTTGCTTGCCTTGCTGTGTTCGCCATTGGTTAAAATAAACTTACTAGCATTTCCTGACTTTATGTGTCACCCTACCAGAAATACAGGTTGGGAAGGCAATCCTGCAAGGAATCGACTGAAAGCTCCAAGGATGGTATGAATCTACATCTGTTTGGATCTGGTCTGATCCTTATTCATGGAATTTCTAGCAACTGACTCTTAATTGCCAGTTGTGGATTGGAGATTTCTGAATTCTCTCGTTCTAATGTATTTTAGATCATTGTTGTGCTCCATTTCATATTAACTACTTAATCAGTAAATAACCCCTGGGAGAATGTGAGACTGATGAAAAGTGGTGGTTGTCGGTATTTGTAGTCGGAATTGCAGCATCTGTGGCAGAAAGTCAGGACACTGGCTCATCTGCATCAACATCATCTAGAATAGCTGCACAAGATCTGAATGAGTATGTCAATCATCATCCTATCATTTTGCCTAAAATTCTTCTTTGTATCCTCCTTACGTGTCTCATTCTTTCCATTTATGAAACAGCGGTTACCAGGTCACCGAGGCTTTGCGTGTACAGATGGAAGTTCAGAGAAGACTACATGAACAGCTAGAGGTCTGCCATTGTTCTTGAGACTGTTTATTTTGAAATGTGGCTTCTGAAACTCTGACTGAGAAAACTGCAGCTGAGCACTTATCATGATTAGTGAATGTCTCGTCTGGTTCTAAGTTGGAATCTTTGTGCCTGATGTATTCTAGCTGAGGAATGATCCTTAGGCTCTTTTTCTCTGTGTAAAACAGGTGCAGCGTCGACTCCAACTCAGGATTGAAGCCCAGGGGAAATATCTACAGTCAATACTTGAGAAAGCTTGCAAAGCTCTAAACGACCAGGCAGTTGCAACTGCTGGACTGGAAGCTGCAAGGGAGGAGCTTTCAGAGTTGGCAATCAAAGTATCCAATGAATGTCAAGGAATGGCACCCATTGACACCATAAGGATGCCGTCTTTATCTGAACTTGCTGCTGCTTTAGAGAGCAAAAGTGCTTCTTCGAATGTGCCGGCTCGGATTGGTGACTGCTCCACAGAGAGCTGCTTGACTTCAATTGGGAGTCCAGTTTCTCCAATGGGAATGTCTCCACAGGCTGCTGCTGCCATGAAGAAAAGATCAAGGTCTGTCTTTGGCAATGGAGATTCTCTCCCACTGGATGGCACCACCATGCGTCATGAAGTTGAATGGATGATGAACAACATGGCCTGAAGAGCTAGCTAGCTAGCTGCCGCAAAGTTAGCATCCTAGAATCAACTCCTCGTTGTTCACCACGTCCTTCTCCCTCTTCTTGGTTATTGTCCTCAGATTAATTTGATCTCCTAAGTTAACTGTATCACCTTCAAAATGGTCTCCTGTATAGTTTGGGATCCTTTTTCTAATTGTAGGAACTTTTGCCTATTCAGTTGGAAAGATATCAACTTTCTTGTTTCTTCCCCGCAAGCACTTCACTTTCAGTTAACAGCCTTTTTGGCCCGAGGAAAATCTATCTGCAAAATCCTTGGCCGACGACAAACCAAACAGGCCTAGACTCTGCTAAGATTTATAAATCTCCTTATTAAGCTACTGCGTGTGCGTTTATAGACGATGATTGATCAATGACAATTGTCAATGATACAATACAATTCTTGCAGACATCATCTTCTTCCTCTCCAAACAATTGATAATTATGGGCCAATGCAGACATCAAAGATGGGTTCGTCAGAACTGGAGGTAATCTTTGACACCATTGTTGAAGTATTCTTGTTAGAGGACAAGAATGGAGATGGGAAGTTCAACAAGAAAGACTTGGTGAACGCGTTGAACGATGCTTCCTCCATGGGGGAAATCTTCCTTTGCGGATCACCAAGTCCAAATTCAGTGAGTCGAAACAAATGAATCCGATCTATTTCCCTCCTTTACTTTGTGGTTTGTTGACGTAGACCGTGAGAGTGATTCACGTGACTGCCAGAGGAAATGGACCGGTACAGGAATTGGAAGGTTAGCTTCAGGGAGTTTCTGTTTGCGCTGATTCAATGGGTTGGCATTGATGCTGCTAATGATGAACAAGACCAGAGATTCCCCTGAATGGAACATTCTTCATGTTCTTTTTTCTCGTCTTTGCAAGTGATTTTGTTAAGTTCAAATCATACAGTACTATGGTGACCATTGTTTCACAAAACCGAAGGCTCTAACTACATTCAAACGTATGATACACAGAAGTTACAGAAACTGAACTGCAAACAAAAGAAAGAAAAAAACACAGGAGCAAAGAAACGAAATCACCAGGTTTTCTCTACATACATACTACTGCCTGCTAGTTGCTACCTATCATTGGATTCCTAAAGCCTGGACTCGCTTAACCAATGACAAGGAAGAAGCATTCTTCTTTCTCCATTCCTTCCTGCTCTCATTCTTTTGCTGACCTCCTTCCACCAGCCGCAGCCATTGATCATTACCATCTAGAATGCTCACTATCTGCCTCATGCTCGGTCTTAGATGAGGATCAGACCTCGTACATGCCTTCCCCAATTTCACTAGCCTCATCAGTTCCTTGCGATCATACTCCTTGTCCAACCTCACATCCACCAGTTCCTCCAATGCTCTATCTTGTGCCTCAAACTCATTTACCCGATTTACCAGCAGCACCTCGGGTCGCCTGAAATCGACCGCCATCTGCCCACTCACCACCTCAAGCACCACCACGCCAAAGCTATAAACATCTGCCATCGTCGTTGCTTCACCTGATTCCATGTACTCCGGCGACATGTATCCAAAGATCCCCCTGACCGATTTGGTCGCCGAGGCTGCTGCTTGATGAGCATGGTCATTCCTGTGGAGGAACTCAGCGAGCGCAAAGTTGCTCAGCCTTGGGTTCATCATGTCCGGATCGAGAATAACCGAAGATGAAGTTATGTTCCTGTGGATGACTTGTTCATCCCACTCCTCATGAAGGTAAAGAACCGCCGAGGCTAGTGACTTCACAATGTTGTACCTGTGTCTCCAAGTCAGAGTTATCAGCTGACTTTCACTGCTGCTACCAATCTTCTGCTTGCGTTGGTGGAAGAGCAAGTGACTGAGCAGGCGGCTAGGGGAGTAATCATAGATGACCAACATCTCTCCTTGCTCGGTGCACCATCCTCGCAACTGGATCAGGTTGCGGTGGCGCAGCCTGCCTAAATTCTGAAGCTCGGCAGAGAACCTAGTTCTTAGTGCAGGGCACTGTGTCATTCCGAGCCTCTTTATGAGAACTTGATGGCCATCTCCAAGGATACCATAGTAAGCAGTGCCAAAATCAACCTCCGCTAGCCTATTTGAGTCGGAGAAGTTGTTGGTCGCAGTAACAATTTCCTTGAATGAGATCTCCCTCGGAGTTTCCACCATAAAGGAAGAAGCAGAACAGCATCTTCGGCTACCAAACATAGAACTTCTATTGTTGTTGAAAGTACCAACAACATCACTACCATCAACACTACTACTAGTAGTGTCCAACTCCGCCGTTTCATATATGGTTTCCCCTACAGCCGTAGCATAAGTAGCTGAGATTGAGATTACCCTTGCTGTTGTGGACTTGGAGCTTCTTCTGCTGCTCCGTGTTGTTGACGTAGTCCCGCTGGAGCTGCTGTTGGTGGCGGTGGTGTTGCTTCCGGAGGAGATCGATATGTAGCGTGGATGGGCTTGAAAAGAAGGAAGCGGCGGCAATTTGTCGCCGGAATTCCCCCCGGAGAGTGCTTCCACTACCCACTTCATATTCGGGCGAAACTGAGCGCTGTGGAGAGTACAGAGGAGACCCAGATGGATCATTCTTTCCATTTCGATCAAGCGGTAAGACCCATCTTCAAGCCTCGTGTCACCAACCTGGAGAACCTTCCCTTCGTCGGAAAGCTGCCGGACCCAATCGAGCAGAACAATCTGATCATCCGGGTAAGCCAAATCCACCGCTCTTCTCCCCGCGACGACCTCCAGAACAACGATTCCGAAGCTGAAAACGTCTGATTTGGCCGTGGCGAGGCCCCTCTTCTGGAAACTCTCGGGCGGCAGGTACCCGATCGTACCGCCGATTCGGGTTGACTCCACCAGCCGGAACTGGTGGTTCCTCATCGACGGCGTCCTGACGCCGCCGTACTCCAACTCGTGCTCCAGCCACCGCGCCAGCCCGAAATCGCCGAGGCGCGCGTTGTAATTGGAATCGAGCATCACGTTGCTCGTCTTCACGTCGCGGTGGATGATCTGGGTCTCGAGCTGGTCGTGGAGGTAGTGGAGCGCCGCCGCCAATCCGCCCACGATTCTCTTCCTCTGCTCCCAATCGAGAATCGGCGGGGCAAATTCCTCCCCCGCCGCAGCTAGGTTTTCGGATTTCCGGAACAGAACCCGGTCGAGGCTCCGATTGGGCATGTAGTCGTAGACCAGGAACAGCTGGTCCTCGTGCACGCACCATCCCCTCAACCGGACGAGATTCCGGTGGCGGAGATGAGCGACGGCCACAAGCTCCGCCGCGAACGTCTTCTCGAACTGCTCCCCTCTCTCCGCCAAACACTTCACCGCCACCAGAGTCCCGTCGCTGGGGAGAACCGCTCGATAAACCCGCCCGAACCCGCCGCTCCCCAGCACCTCCTTCTCGCTAAACCCTTTCGACCCGATGTAAAGCTCCGAATAGCTGAAGATCCGTGGGTTATCGTACCCGACCCGCTCGTCACCAATTTGGACTCCCTCCAAGTCATGAAACGCACCGGATCCCATCCTAGACCCCTTCTTTTGGTGTCGTTTCTCCGGGTCCGGGTCAGGGTCATTATGACACGAACTGACCCATTTGGACCCGTAAATCCGCCTGACCGTCCCGCCGACCAGGGAAACAATCTGGTGACCGCAGCCACGGTGGTGCTTCTTCTGGCCGGGTGGTGGGAACTTGAGGTCGGCCGGGATTTGATGAGTGGTGGTGTCTGATTGATCGTCGAAGTCGGTGGTTGGGAGGACGATGCAGAAGCGGTTGAGATGCATGGTGGCGGTGGGCGGGTGGTACTTTTGGTTTGGGGATTTCATGGTGTGATTGGATTGTGGTGCTTAAGACGGCATGGATTTTGGGGATTATGGGAAGTGGGAACTGGTGGGAGATTAATGAATGAATGAATGTGGATGGGGAAGATGACGAAGAAAGGGAGTTGGTAAAATTGAATTTGGGCGGTGAAATGTGGCGTGGAAACGGGTGGGCTGTGCCTGTGATTATTATAATGATGTAATCAATTTGGGTTCTAGAGGGAGAGAGAGAGAGAGAGGTGCTTTTTTGGCGCGGGTTAGTTGCCTTCTTTTCGTCTCTCCTCCCGGCCCTTTATAATTTCAACGTTGGTAGGTTTGCATGGTTTTGAATTGTAGTTGTCAAACTACTCCCAGGAGAAGAAAGAAGAAGAAAAGAACCTTCTAACTTTCTTTTTTAATGGCCTTTATTCTCCTAATTACTCTTTGGTCCCCATTGTTTGGTGTGTTTCTACCTAAAAATTAGGAATGACAATGGAAGTGGAGTGGATATGGAGATATCTATATATGTACTGTGGCAACTCAGGTTCAGATCATATATTTGTATTCGGTCGGATTGGGACGACCAATATGGGTAGCAATATAAAGAAAAAAAATATTTTGCAAGACCCATATGATAGTGTAGTTCAGGAAAAAAAAATACTTTGAACTTTTACTTTTTCTTTAATAAGTGGAGAAACAAACCATAACATGATAAATATAGTTAAATTATTAAAGAAGTTAAGTTTCTCACATATTTAAAACTTTGTTATAGCTAATTTATGAGGTGATAAAATTAAAATTCTAAATAATTTGAGTAAAATTACATATTATTCATACAAAATGAATAAGAATGGAGCTGGTCAGGCCAAGTCAGTTTGAGGAGAGTACACATCCCCCACCCCCGGGACGGGTATCAACAACTCTAAAATAAGTCAGATATGCGTCAAATCAAAATTGTCACCCTACTAAAATTGGCTTCTTTGATAGTCCCCTCTCCTTCTTAGAGGAAAAAAAATGACAAGATGTATAGTCACTTGTAGGGGTGGCAGTCGGGTCGGTTTTGGTTTAACCGAAAACCAAAAATCCGATTATCGGTTAAACTGAGCCACCCCCTATAGCTGCCGACCACCGACCATGAGAGTGGTCATGGTTAGCCGGCCAACCGACCAGTCGGTTTTGGTTTTAGGCTCGGTTAGCCGGCCAACCAGAAAACTACCTTTTCTACAACAAAAAAAAAATTAAAAAAAAAACAAAAATTCTGCACCACTCACTCCTAACCCCTCTCACTTCTCGATTCTTCTTCTTCCTTTCCAGAGAAACCCGCCGCTAACCCTTGCTCTCCCTACTCTCTCTCGATTCTCTTCTTCCTTTCCAGAGAAAGGAAAATCGACAAACCCTTGCCCGCCAAGCCGAAATCGCCTCCTCCGTCACCTCTCTCGTTCTGCCCTCTCCCTCAATTGTCATTCCCTCTACCTCTCCGTTGACGGTGACGGGAACAGCGGTGGAACTCGGCCTCTCTCTCTCTCTCCCACTCTCTGCTCTTTCTCACTCTCCCTCGTCTTACCCAGAAAATGAGCCGAAGCAAAGCTTCTCCTTTTTGTAGGAAGAGGACCCTTCCCCTGAAACATGAGCACCCAAAATGGCGGGTTTGGCGGAGGTGCTGGTGGAGGCGGAGGGTTAGGCGGCGGCGGCGGGTTAGGAGGCGGCGGTGGTTTAGGTGGTGGGATTGGTAAGGGCGGGGGAATCGGCGGTGGGATCGAAAAAGGTGGAGGGCTTGGCGGCGGAGCAGGTGGTGGAGCAGGTGGCGGGATCGGAAAAGGTGGAGGTCTAGGTGGTGGAGTAGGTAAGGGAGGTGGGCTTGGGGGCGGCGGCGGCGGTGGGAAGGGCGGAGGACTTGGCGGCGAAGCAGGTGGTTGCTTTGGCAAGGGCTTGTTGGCTTAGCTATGGCGGTGGTGAGAGTGTAGATATGCTTCTTCTTCTTCTTCTTCCTGTATTTGAGAATTTCTTTTGATTTAAGATGTGGGAATGGAGATGAATCTGGACATATTTTGGGGAAGGTTAAGTGGGTCTCGGTTGGCCCGGTTAGTCGGATAACCGCGATTAATTACCGTCGGTTACTCGGTCAACCGACCCCTTCCTTTTCCCATCCGACCACCAACCGTCAAGGTAGCTGGCCGGTTTTCGGTTAGCTGATAACCGGCGGTTACCCGCTAACCGCAAACTGAAATGCCAGCCCTAGTCACCTGTCTCTTATAACGAAGGGTATATTGGATAGTCAATTGTAAAGTATTTTATGCTTAAACAGTGTTCAATATCGGTACAACAATTTAGACTTCAATAAACGTATATTCCGATCAGACCACCAATATTCTCTTATTTAGCAAATACCTGTTTATCCATTTACCATCCATAACCGACGTTGCGGTAGAGTACTAGACATACAAAGAGTACAATTAGGGGAAATCATAAACTTGAAGCTTTTTAATAATTTCACAATTTGTTCATCATATTTTTGTACTTGAAGGGAAAAACAAACTATAATGATTAAGTTATCAGGTTAAAAAATATGAGGGACTGAAGAGTAAGTTAGGCAATAGACTATGGGGAATTCCGCATTTCAGAGCACCATTTCTCTAGTCTTTCCTTCCTGGAAGCCGTTTGTCCAAGATTCTTCTTTTTTAGCCCTTTTCCGATTTCTGGCTGATCCAATCTGCAAGGCGTTGAATAGTACGCAAATGGGAAATTAGAGGGAGGTTCTTCTAGTTGATTTGTTTTATTAATGTACTTTTTCTTTTCCTTCTGTTGTGGATAGAAGGTACGTAGCTACGGTGGCAGGGTCAGCTGTGCGATTGACCGGCGATTTCTGGTTTGACCAGAGTGAGAATTTGGCTGGATCACGCGGTGACCAATACTAATACATTACTGATGTGGGTGGATGGCTGGCGGTTGGACCACAGTTGACCCGTTACACACATGGAGTCATGGAGCCCACTAGTACCAGATCAGCCGTATCATATATCCGAATGAAGTGAGCAAGAATGAATTTTATTCTTAAGAGATTTGAATCATAGGGTCATGAGGGAAGAGTTGATTTTTATTACCCTTACCGACTAATTTTTATTTTTCAAAATTTTGCACGTAAATTTATACACAGAGCAAATCCCACTACTTTAACTACCGTCTTCAATCTTATTAGTCACAAGCATGTGATGGATGTATATATCTTTGCTAATTAATTCCGTCTGGATGGATACATGCACTTTTAAGCCATTACAAGTAACTTATATCACTCTTATAAACAAAATAAGCAAGACACTGAAAATCGGAATCCCAATGACGGTATAAATTAATTTAAAAAGTATCGCATCAGCAATTTTCATTAGTGTGCTCAGCAATTTTTAACATTTTCATTAAAATTTGATTTTATTTTGTCATATAGCTTAAAAATATAGTAGCTATATAATAAATATATATTTGGCTACATCAGCTCCCTGCCTCCCTGTACAAATTAATTAAGCCCACACTGGTCCTAACCGAACACCCAAGATGATAATAACAACCAACCTTACATAACAATTACAGATAATAATAATAATAATGATAATAATCAGCATAATTAGCATAAACTAAACGATGCTGATGGGTGAACAGTGGTGGTGGCAGTAACACTTCAACAGTTATCTTTTGTACGCTTATATTTGAGCACTTCTACTATATATGCTATATAGTATTGGTGTTTTAATGTACAATTTTAGGTTGTATCATAACAATAAATGTATAAGTTTAGATTTTACCATAAAAGAATTTGTATCATTATGTTATGATATAACTTTACAACTTGAAGTTGTACCATCACATAAAGGTACAAGTTCAAGTTGTACCATAAAAGAATTTGCACAAAAAGTACAGGTACAATTTGAAGTTTTATCATAACGGTAAAAGTACAATTTCAAGTTGTACCATAAAGATAAAAATATATAGCACCAATACTATATAGCATTGTAAAATTCCTCTTGCTTAATATCCAACCACCTCCGACTCCGAGTGTTTTAACATGCAAATGCATGGTAGATTACTTTTCTCGTATAATCCGCAACTAACTGTTTCGTTGGCGAAACTCGTGTGTTAACTGCGCACGGTTTTCAAGAAAAAGCACAAAACACACGTCAATCACAACCGTCAAATATCCGCCGCCGAATGTCGACGCCGTTGATTTGATCGATTAAAGAAGAAACCAAGACGATCGTCAAATGGCCGCCGGTGTCGGCGTCGTTGATTTGATCGATGCACCTTTGACCTCTAACCAAACAACCGTTACTCGGTTCACCACCTCTGCAAACTACGTTCGAACGAGGGTGTTCCACGAGAAACGAGAAACCAAACCAAGAGTGTTCTAAGTTACGTTACCTCTACTCCTATGGAGGTTCCTCTGGAGAGCTCCGCAACTACGACTAAGACTACAAGCTACGACTACGACTCTGCAAAGGAGGTCTTTGACAGAGCGATTCTACGAAAACTAGAGAGAAAAGATAAATCTGCGATGTTGCAGTTTGTGATTTGATTTTTCTGTCCCGAACTTCTCTCTCTTCCCAATCTTTATACTTCGCGCTTCTCCTCGTCGTAATAACTGCCTTCGCGACTGTGTCTCCCACGTCTTCACTCCTGTCAACCGTGCAGGTAACTTCCTCCTTGTTGCGTGATAATCACGTACCATCGAAACCGCTACTGTTTGCAGAAATTTGGCGAAACGACATTGAGCCAAATCCTACAACCCTATCCATGCGACGATGTCGTTTCACCAATACCGCGGCATCACCTTTCACTAATCGATGCTGACAAACAATGTCGTTTTCCATTCCGCGACATTGTTTCTTTTCCAACCAAACGGCACCGTTGTGCTTGCCAGGCCTCGCCAAAATTCAAACCATTGTGGTATGGTTTTTAACTAAACGACACCGCTTAGTGATACTGCGGCGTTGTTGATG